TGAAATTCATTTTCTTAGCTTTGGCCCAGCTTTCTACTCTATTCAGGTCATTTTGAATGTTGATCCTCTCCTCTGGAATATTAGCTACTCCTCCTAATTTGATGTTATCTGAAAATTTGATAAGCGTGTCCTCTATTCCTTCCTCCAAGTCATTGATAAAGATGTTGAATAGTATTCCTAGCCACAATCCGTGTTGATGAACAACAGCCTGGAAATCTTTGAAAGAGGATTGCACAAATGCATGAAGGAAGAGATGGCGATCCATTGCCATTAGACAAGGAGGCTGAGCAGAACCTCCATGCCTAAGGGCAGTAGGATTCAAATATTAATTTGGGACGGATGGGAGGAACGCTATCTGTAGTTGCCTTCATGCTTTTATGCTCATGCACTCCGAGGGGTTTGATCATGGCTTGAAAAAGAATGTGGCTTGAAGAGGTTGTCTCATTTTGATCCAATCTGACCATAAACCTTTGTGTTCGCAGAACTCAAACTCTGGTTCTCCAGATGCTTTGAACTCCAATTCCCAGAATGCCTGAACATTGGCAATACTGGCCCGGCCCTCTGGGAGTTGAAGTCCAGCACATCTGGAGGGCTGGCTTTAGAGAAAACCACCATCATGGAGATGTTAGATGTATATATCCCAGCGGTTCCCAAACTTTGGTCCTCTAGGTGTTTTGGACTTCAACTCCCAGTAGTCTTAGGCAGTTTGACCTACAACCAGGAATTCTGGGAGCTGAAGTCCAAAACATCTGGCGGACCAAACTTTGGGAACCACTGGTGATGGCAATTTTTCCAAGGGCTGGAGGACAAGTATTTTTTGTTTAATTGTTTTATTTAATTGATTTTTACATGTGTTTTTAATGCTTTGTACTGTTTTAACTTGGAGTATTTTGAATTTTGTTAGCCGCCTTGAGTCCCTGTACTGGAAGGAAGGCAGGATATGAATAAAATAAAATAAAATAAAATAAAATAAAATAATAAATAAGTGCCGCCCCCACTCCATTGAAAGTAGAGGTTGAAGCCAATATAAAATATACCTGTTGTAATCCACTTTGATTCCCATTGGGAAAAGGCGGAATAGAAATAAATATCATTATTATTATTATTTATTGCTTGGGGATGTTGCCCCAGAGTTTGGAGAAGATGCCTTTTTTGGGCTGCAGCTCCCAGAATCCCCCAGCCGGCAAGCCGGCTGGGGGATTCTGGAAGCTGCAACCCAAAAAAAGGTATCTTCTCCAAACTCTAGCACTGTATAATATTTATTTGTTGGAATTACATGGTGTTGCATGAATTATGGGGTGATGCACTTTTGCACCCCGGCAATTTTGCCCAATGTCTTTTCCTTCTGATGAGATTGCAAGGTGTGGCGTGTTTCCAAGCGCTATGGGGGATCATGCGCAAAGGCCACATCTTTCCACAATAAAGGGCCAACCAACCCAACCAACCCACCCACCTCTGGGCTTGCTCTCTCGACTTGTGGCAACATGCGCGAAGGTCATCCCTATTGTTGCATCAGGCCTCATCCCCACGAAAGCCTCCTCCAGATGACACAGATTATCAAAGGCTCGAGGAGCATTTAATCACGGCCCGAAAGCCCCCCCCCCCTGCATGCGCACCCCTCTGTCATTCCACCTCGGCAATTGTCTCGGCATGAAAGGCGACCTTTGGCCCGACGTTGATGAAACATGTTCATGCCTCTCCAGGCTTGCAGCCAGATAAAAGGTGAGAGGTTAATAAATGGTGGAAAAATAAGATACCAAAGCTTTGAGGTCGCACCTGGGTTGTTGTTGTTGTTGTTGTTGTTTCTCTCTGTCTTCCCTTCCCTCTTTCTTTTTTATTTCTTTAAGTTCCATACTG